TTACAAGTTATGGGACCGAGCGCCGATACGCGGCTGCTATGGGATGACCATTATCCTATCACCGCGAGGCATTCCTCCGTGATGCGTGTTCTAATAGATCATGTTTACAAAAACATTTGTGTTTTTACCCAAAAATTTTCACTGCGTTACAAGTTATATATTTTTACCCCCAAAATTTTTTAGACGTTTCGTAGATGTGGGATGGGTATTTGAAAAAAGCATAATTATTCTGTAGACAGTGCTTTATTTGTTTTTATACATTTTTAATTAAATACTAAAGCTAGCAGTTCACAATCCACAAGTTGGTTTTTATGGAAGCACTCGCTATCGCGTATTATTTTCGATACATTTTTATTATTCGATACGGTGGTCATGATATTAGAAAAATTGTGAAACTGTGCGTCGACTCTATCAATGACGCCAATCAATCGCGCGAACATTAAATCGATACATCGATCGAAGTTAAGCATGTTGAAGAATGTGGAAGCAGTCATCGCCAAGTGTACGTTGGATGCTTCCAGATGTATAAGCGTGATGTTATCAAGAGTGCTAAATCGCACCGTCAGCGGTCCAACGACAATAGAATATGACGTATCCGTGCACTGCTGATTGCCAAGATATTTCTCAACGTTAGATCGTTGCTCGCAGAGTGCCCTCCACGTTTCGGGAGACAGTACGAGTTCGTTTCTACGATGATTTCCTATCGCAATCTCGATGTAACTCGGTGGTCCAATTTGGCGTATAACCCTTCTCGAATATCGTCTTGTATCTGCTAACGCGTACCGCGTCGCCCACTTTGAACTTTGCCGACCGGCGATTTTTATGTGGTTGTACACCGTTTTCAGAAGCCTGTCGGCAACCGCGGGGGTGACGTCGACGGGTCGCATACCGATGGTGCGATGCTTGCGCGCGTTGTACTCGGCTGTGAGTCGCGACAATAAATCCGTCCACTTGTAACTTCCATTGAGTGTAAACATCTTCCACATGGCGTTCTTCAACGTGCGATTGAACCGCTCGACGACTGACGCTTTCATTATGGAATATGTGGAATAGAGATTGATGTTTTGTTTCTTCAAAAGTCGTTGCACGTAGGTGTTGTAAAATTCCTTCCCCATATCAGTTTGTAGGTTTTTCGGGCATCTTTCGCTCTCCCGAATTATCTCGGTGATAGCGTCAGCCGTCTCGCTTCCACCTTTAATCTTGAGGGGCACGGTCCAAGCGTGCTTGCTCAACACATCGATGACGGTAAGTATGTAGTGGTAGCCTCTGTTGAAACGTGAGTACACCTGCATGTCAACGAGGTCGGCTTGCCACAGATCATCGTATCCTCGAACTATGACGTGTCTCCGTGGAAAATTCTTTCTCACCGGAGCATGCAGCTCCTCGATGAGTCTTCATTTCTCGGACTCGTTTCGTCCATTGAATTTTGACGATCTCATGTCTCGGCGGTACAACCGTAGACATAATGATACGCGCAAAAGGGTGCCCTGTGGTATATGTTTTTAACAGCTCCGAAATACAGACCAGTTTCCGAATTACAGGCCCGTTTCCGAAATACCGATCTGTTTCCGAATTACAGACCCATTACCGAAATATGGACCTGTTTTCTGAAATACTGAACTGTTTCCGAATTACAACACCATTCCACACCCGTTTATTTCCGATCACCGACATCTTTCAATAACCATTCACACGTCTCCAGGGAAAATTCCTTCTCACCGGAGCATGCAGCTCCTCGATAAGACTAAAGGTGGAAGCGAGACGGTTAATGCTATCTGTGAGATAAGCTGAGAAGGAAAAAAAGAGAACAATAATTAATGGGAGACAATTAATATTCATTGTGAGGTACAAAAATATGGTTATTAACGTAGGTCGGCACTCATGGCTGTTCCTTGAGAAAGGATCGCCGGGGCACCCCGCGCGCATGTATACCATGAATTATTATTGAATGGGAAACACCGGCAAGATCTTTTTGAGTCGGGGACGGGCAGTTATCAGGAGGCACACCAAACGGCTTAGCCATTCCGTTGGGAGCGACGTTAAAATGTTCCCGCAAGAGAGTCGGTACAAAAGTTTGTGGACTCCATATTGTCTGGTAAAGGACTTGCTAATAAATTGAGTCTAAAATCCTCAACGTGTTTTGCACTCCGCCGAATGAATATTGGTGGGACCTTCACAATCCTCTACAGGATCCTGTGCTATATCCCCACACTCTCTCGCCCTATCGCTCCACCTGTCGCACTCACGTCTATCACGTTTCTCGTTCGCGCCTATCTCGGGTCATTCATGTCTATCACGGTTCGTGTTTTTTCGCTGCTTCTTATTATGTACTTGGGAAAGGGAAGCTGGAAATAAAACTCTTCCGTAATCTAAGTCTGGAGATTGCATGCGGAATGCCTGCGTAGAAAATGTGTCCAGTCGTCTTACGCTCACGTTCTGCAATGCAGATCAGCTTTAATTTCGATTCTAAGCAGTCTCTGCATGACACTGCTGGGATGATGCTCATAAGACTCTTATAGCAATGGTTGTAGCCGAGTTTTGGTATAGCCCTACGTTGTCGCTCTTCTTATTAACTATACGTTGGCGCTCTTCTTATTAACTACTTGGGAAGGGAAGATAGAAATAATACTCTTATTTAATGCACAAATAACTAGGTACTTTATTATTTTTTATATTAGAATGTTATATAAAATGTAAAATATAGCGTGATGCCGCAAACTGCTGATGGTGAGGGATCGAGCCAGCGCAATCAGAGATATGTTGTATTCGGAACCATACCCAGGTAGAACATAAAACTCATAATGACATCATTATGACATCACTTAAAAGTCATTTTGGAAAAATCATAATGATCTCATTTGATACATTTTTGACTATGTTTTGGTGATTTATTTAAAATTTTTTATTAAAAATATCTTATAATTATTATCTTATAATAAAAAATCTTATAATTATCACACTCCAAGCTTTTCCACTAAAAATATCTTATAATTACTTCACACTCTAAGCTTTTCCTATATAATAATGCTAAATCGTAATTGTATTTATTTATAACATATGTTTCTAAGCAGTCTCGGCATGAGACTGCTGGGGCGACGCTTGCCAGAAATTTATAGCAGCAATGACAACTCATTTTAGGTGTAACTATATATTCTGTTGGCGCACAAAACCCGTGCCACCGTGATTTGGAGACATAATTTGAGGGTCTCCCTATTAAATTAAAACATTCGATGCACATCCGCAACTTGTCACCATCCTCGTGGATGTAAAACTCCGCCACGATCGACTTTGAACATATACCATTAAGGTATATGTGATATGTATTTGGGTGGTGTTGTGGCACGTCCCCGTCTATGGGGCCGTACCACTCAAGCTTCTCCTCCTCGCTCCTCGTGTCTGGAGTTGGAGGCTTCATGACTCTGTAAACAATCGTGTTATAAGTCTCAGACCGAGCTCGTATTCGCTGCTCGCGTCTAATTAATAATTTGAACTTACCTTTGTTTTTTGTAGTTTTCCAATGACACTCACCCAACGTGCTTCGTCTCGAAGTCGATACGTTTTTGAGCTTTGCATTTTTGGGAATCGGACCTTTCATAGTGTCCCTATGACACTACTTTATTTGTTTCGGTCAAGAGAGTGCTAATTCTTGTAAATTATGAATTTTTGTCATTAATTCAGTTAGTTAATCATCATACGTTCTTTCTTTTTCATCGTCAATTATTTCACCAGAAGGTTGTCTGGCTAGTTTTCCAAATACCAACTCGTATGGAGTATATCCAGTTGATTCATGTGTGCTTGTATTATATGAGAAAGTTGCAAATTCTAATAATTCATCCCATTCAGTGAATTTGTTAATATATTGTTTTAAATATTCTATTAATACTATATGTGATCTTTCTAATGCTCCATTGGCTTGTGGATAAAAGGCTGTAGTTTTATATTGCTTTATCTTGAATTGTTTACTGAATCGTTTCATTAAATTGCTCATAAAATTTGTTCCTCTATCTGTTAATATTATTTTGGGGGCTCCAAAAAGGCAAATAAAATATTTTAATAATGCATCAGCAACTTGCACAGCAGTTATAGATTTTAAAGGGATCGCCAAGGAAAATTTGGTTAGGTGATCTTGGATTGTTAAAATATAGGAATTTCCTTTGGAAGTTTTAGGTAAAGACCCTACTATATCCATTGATATTTTTTCGAAAGACGAAAAAGGTGTATCGGTGATTATCATTGGTTGTTTGGTTTTTACTCTAACTAATTTTTTAATTTGGCATTGTAAACATTGATTAATATAGTTTCGGATATCAGATTTAATATTATCCCAGTAAAAATTTTGTCGAATTCGATTATAAGTTTTAGTTATTCCTTTTTGACCTCTAATTTTGGAAGAATGAGCCTCTTCAATTATGTTTTTCTGACTTTCGATTTCTGGGATTTTTACCAATCCATGACATATTATTAATTTGGTTGATGTTCCAAGTATTGATTGTTGAATTTGTTTAAAAATTTCTTCCCATGAGAGACAAGGACATTCGTCCCGGAATGTCTTCGTCTTCGCTTTCGTTATCAGAGTTATCGCTTACAAAATCTACCCACGGTTTCATATGATCAGCGGATGTTGATGTCTTCATTGGTCCTTCGTGTTCACCCACCCTTTGTACAAGGTATCGATCATTTCGCAACACTCTCGTTACAGTATATGGACCTAGGTATTTGTTAGCCAATTTTAAACCGGGGCCTAATTGTGTACGTTTGATCGCTACCAAATCATCCTCTCTATACTTCGTAGCCGCTTTTCGCTTTTTCCCAAAAGTTAATCGATTCTCACGCTGAACTTTTGCCATGCATTCCCTCGCTTGTTTACGCAAATCGCTTCGATCGTTTCTTAATCGTCGACTCATTCTTTTTCTAACAGTTCTCGAATATGGGGATCATCCCGCATACGCGCGTATACTCCGAACATTAAATGAAATGGTGTAGTACCAATACTCCTCTGAGCCGTACAATTTAAATATAGTTGAGCTAAGTTAAGAAATGTGAACCATTCCTCTCGCTTAGAGTCTGATAATTTAGTTAACAATGGTATAAGAATTCGGTTCATACGCTCTATTTGACTGTTTGCTCGCGGAACTCCAGTCGTAGTTAATATGTGATTTATGCGCTCCGTTGTACAATACTCCTCGAATTCTTTAGATGTAAACGCGGTACCACGGTCTGAAATTATTCTCCGCGGGTTACCAAAAATCACTGATTGTTTTTTAAGCTTATCTATCACTTCCGCCGCGTTTGTAGTTTTAGTCGGATGTTACGTCGTATTCTCTGCGGGACGTCCACTATCTCAAGTCCCCTTTTATCGGGACTGATTATGCGGAAGAACGCCGTACAGAAAACACTGTTCTCTCGCCGCGCTCCAGCAGATGCGCGTCGAGAGTCGAGCGTATCTATTAAAGGGCTCGAAGTGGGTCAGTGAGCCAAAGCTCACTGTGACGCCTCCTCGAGCTCTTATACGCCCGTGGGTCCTGTTTTGGGTCAGAGAATTTAATCTCTTTACCCGGGGACGGACCCAGTGGAAGCTTAATAATAGCGGGAATGAAGAGGGTTTATTTCAATTAATTGATTTTAATCATTACAAATTATTAAATTTATCTATGTATTTATACATGGAATGTAATTGTTTGTACAAAATTATGGTGTGGCTAATGTTATGAATATATGTGTATTTTTATAATGTAATTACATCTATTAATTCCTCTGCGCTAGGCGCGGAACTGGTGGGCGAGGATGGAGGGATATCTGGGAAGGGGTTATTTATGGGAGAAAGGGAAAGGAGTTCTCCAAGGAACTCCACGGGAGAACTGTTGGCGCTGGGAGGTCGGGAAGGGAGAACTTCTTGTATAAATTCTACACTGGACGTGGAGAAGGTGGGAGAAGGGGAAATTTGATGGAGGAATTCCACGTCAGACGTGGAGTCCTCACATAGGACATCTTCTATGACTTCGATGGAAGGGATTTCCTCTAAGAAATCAGCGTACGGAATTTCACCTAGAAACTCCACGCTAGACGTGGAGTCCGTCGGAGATGCGGGAGGAGAGTTTACAGGAATAGGGGGTGGATATGGCTCGGGAGAGTATGAAGGAGATAGCGATAAATATGTGCTTGGGGGAGTAGGAGGAAGGTGGTAACATGTGGGGAGTTGAAAGTCGAAGAAAAAATCTTCTTCGAAGATTTCGGGGTCGATGACGACTTCTCCTGGTGGAAGGTTGAATAGATCCACTGTAAAGTGGTTTTT